AGAAGAGGACAATCCACGAGTGACAAATCTCCTGCTGCCTTGAATTTGTCCCGTTGACAACCGACGATGGTGTGCAACTCCGCGGGTTCTGAGTGCACGACGGAAGTGGGCAAGGACGTGACATTGAAGCAAGCTCTGGAAGAGCTGCTTAAGTGCATGCTCAGAGTCTGGTGTAGGGAGGGTCAAGCTCTGGCGAAATTTGGTGTGACGACGCCAGGTAACGGGATGAAGTTTTATTTTCAAGTATAGGAAAAAAATATTTGGAAAAAGAAGTAAAAATGACAGTTGGATTGATCAGTAATGATGAATGGCGTTTACGTTAATGTTTTAAGCAGAATTTTTTTCTACGTTAAAAGATCTCGTACTAATTATATGGAAAAAGTTGTTTCAGTCGAACATTGATTTCACGATATTTTGTAACTTATCAGACACTGATCGAGTATCCCCATAAATATATTTAAAAATGGACAAATTTTTCTATAACATCATTTGTGAAAGCTGTTACTTTGGATCTAATCGGATCTACACACAATATGTATTTTAAGTTTTTAACCGTGTAGGTATTTATGTATATATAACTATACATGTGTCATACAATACGTAAAAATGTCAGAAATACTAATAGATTAGCCATCAACACAGATACAAACATATCGATACACACACCTACTCCACTTTTTTTCTCGTCAAAGTTGACGACTCGTCAAACTTTGCAATGCACAAATCATATTAAGATTCAATACATCAATACGTTACGATCGATAATGTTTATTCTAAAAAATATGTTAATACACAAAACGAACGATTTTGCTGAGGTATTTAAAAATTTAGCTACGTAGATACAGATCTAAAAATAATTTTGTTGAAGCATTAGAATAATTATGTAGGACGCACAAACTGGTTACTAGAACGTTGAAACTTTTTGCAACGTTGTTCAGTTTTAGATTTCTACGTATTGTCATTATTTTGATGGCTCAGCAAAATTATTTTCAGATCTGTATTTAGCTCTAAATTTTTTAATATTTTCCCAAAATCTTCTTCTTCGTGTACATAAAATAAGATATTCCCTTTTAAAATCTTCTTTCTTTTGAACTACAATATTTCATGGAAGTTACCTTTTCGGTCAAGCGGCACTTAATTATAATTACGACATTCCCTAGGGAGTCTTACAATTACTTGAAGAGACGGCGGAGATAATTTATATTTATGACTCAATTTCTATTCATAAAGCACTAGCTGGCGTCAAATTAACGACAAATATCCAGCAAAGGTGCTATATCTTGACAAAAAGTTAAAAGGTGTACCGCTAACGACACTGAACGTCGGCCAGGAATTGCCGAGGCATGATTTAGATGTCTCAATAAGTGCACCTGCCATTACAAAGTATCTAGTGCAACTCGTGTATCTTCTCGTGTAAGAAGATTTAATTCATTGATAAAACGTAGCGCTTTACGCCTGACATTTACGACTATGGCGTTATTGGTGTCGCGACATTTTTCTAATCGGGCTGAAATCGATCAAAGTATCCATAGATGGGACATACGACGATGAATCTAGGGGATACACGGGGTATTACACCACCTCATTACCTCTTGACCACTGCCTCTATGTATATCCATACCCGGCAGTGCTTACGATGCCGTATATGATGAACTTCGCGCGCACGATCAAGTCGTGCTTTTTCCAGCGTCTTTCACGTTCATGATCAAAGCGAGGACTAAAATGGATAAAGCTTGCAGTGGCGCGAAAATAAAAGCGGCACCCATGGTGGTGCACGATGACGGCGACCGGAGCCACCTCTGTATCACGAAGGAAAAGGTCTGAGCTCTAAATATGCTCGATTACGTTTGTAGCTCATGCTGACGCGGCGCCTCGCGCCTTTTTGCATTGAACGTCGCGTCGAACTATCGTCGATACATTTTTCTTCCGCTTCGGCCCTTTTCTGATCTAGAGCGACCGATTTGCTTGCCCGATTGTGCTCGCGTGGACATAATCGTGTCGCACTATTCCTGTGATACGTCACTCGATACCACATAGCATGGCTATAAAGCGCGAGGCTTAACAATTTAAACCACTTCATGTACGCGAGTCCCTTTGTACAAGTATATTAAATGCTTCGCGACAAAATGTAATCCGTTCGGATTTGCATATTAAATGCTACTGTAAGGGGAATTAAAATGTACTAATCTTTTGTGTTTCAACATACGAAATTATGGTGAAAAGAATATAATGCGCGTTTTTTCTTCATAAATATTAGTAGGTATATTCATGTATAATAAAGATTAAAAAGTATTATGTATAGAATAATTATTATAATATATAAAATAATTATAAAATATAAAATAAGTTATAAAATTCGAGATTATAATTAAATTTTTTTTGCCAGATTTTAAGTATAAATATTTAGGTGCGTTTTTAGTGTTGAATAAATTAATAACTATGATTACCATCAAATTAGTAACAATCTGTGAAATTGATTTAACAATATTTTAAAATACACATATTTCTTTTTGATAAATGTAATATAAAACAGATAAAATATGTTAATTTCAAATTTTGTAAAATTCTCTAAAAATATAAAAAAAGATCATTCTGTCAATTGCAAAAGGATTTCAACTTTCCAATTTCTTTGTTTTCATGAGAAAAAGCTGCAGCTATACTTAATATTTACAGAAAGCGACAAGAGGGTAGTTGTGAAACGCGAAGCTGGCGGCGAATTTGGATTCCGTATTCATGGCTCGAAGCCCGTGGTAGTTTCCGCGATCGAGCCAGACACGCCCGCGGAGAGTTCCGGTCTCGAGGTTGGCGACATCATCATGTCGGTGAACGGCAGAAGCGTTATGGACGCTACGCACTCGGAGGTCGTAAGACTGGCGCACTCCGGTACGGATGTTCTGGAATTAGAAGTCGCAAGAACCTGCAACGTGTTGGCGCCGCGTGTTGCACGTACCGGAGCGAAGGAGAGCGCTGAAGAAGCACCACTCTACTCGGGATACTTATGGAGAAAATCCACATCGTCGTGCACGGAAAAATGGGTTCGACGATGGTTCGCTCTTCGTCGCGACAACTGCCTGTATTGTTATAAGACTGACTCGGTAAGCGAAATTTATTACTTTTAAAAGCAAATTTGTAACGTAAGCTTATTGCACACCAGGTGCCTGCGAATATCTACGTAGAGAATTTTTATGAGAAATCATAACATAAAGGAAATATCTCCAGATATATTATATTTAAGAAAAAATAAAATAAGGGATACTTGTTTATTTTTTATTTAAAAGTAAAAAAAAAAAAATAGAATCGATGTAATTTCGAAGATTCGAAGTGGAAATTGCCGAGAATTGATTTACCCAAGTCGAGAGTCAATTTCTGACTTAAAGTGCACTTATCGTAACAGGATTCGCAACCGGTGGGAGCGGTAATGCTTCTCAAGTACGATGTGGAGCAGACGCCTGAATTGAGAGTGCATGGTTTCGCGATAAAGAAAAAAGGTGCTCCAACACTACGACTGGCGGCCGATACCGAAGACGCGGCAGCTCGATGGATTACGGTTATTCGCGAAGCTGTTGAGAGGAACAATCAGGTAATGCAAAGTGAATTGCTGTACGAATTATTTAATGTCTCTCCAACTATTTATTTAAAATAATTACATTTTAAATAAATAATTTTTTTACAAAGTATATCTGCAAACACGCGTACACGTGCAATGCTATTTGTACATTTTTTCATAAACTTGTTTACTTTTTCTCATTTATTTAGTCAATTTCTTTAATAACTACTCAATCTTCTTGTCAGATTGACACTTGGCTGGACTCTTCGCTAAGAATGAGAGAGATGGCTGCGTGCGCTATCCAGAGGCCAGATTGTTTCGGGTATTTGAACAAACAACAGGAACACGCGCGGAAAACGTCCTCGCCCACAGGCTGGTCCAGGCGATATTGCGTGCTGAAGGATGCCGCACTGTATTTCTATGACGACGCCAACGCCGATAAAGCATTTGGCGTGGCGTGTCTACACGGCTTCAGGGTACATAGCAGCGCTCCGAGTTCCGGCGGCAGGAAACACGCTTTTGAGTTGCAACCACCGGATCCCACGCAAAGGAGTTATATCTTCGCTAGCGAATCAGAAATGGATAAAAAACGGTAAGCAGATATCAGTCATTTTCAACTTCAATAGGACAAACGTTCCAATGATCGGACATGTACATATGTATATCCAGACACATATTTACACAAAATTTTATTATTATTAATCTAAAATATTTTTTTTACTAAAATATTATAATTCAATAGTACTTAAAGATTATAATTAAATGATATTTTATTAAAAAAAAAAAAAAAACACTTAAGATTTAATAATAACAAATAAACAAATAAAGTTTCGCGTAAATGTTTGGATAAAGATGTCTGGTTATTAGAATTACTTTTTTGTATACAGAATAAATGCAAATGTAATAAATTTTTCTTTTTACAATTTAACAATTAATTAAAACTTTTGACGTTTATTTTCCTTATTATTAGTGTGTACATCTACCGAAAATAATTTCCTACTATTATTTCAGGTGGTTGGCCGCCCTTGAATATTCGATTGATCGGTGGATAAAAATAGGTTGATGCGAAACAATCCGCCCTACGATGAATCCAACGAGTCGCAGTAGCGAAGATCGTCCAAGGAAATCCTCGTCCGTATCCGTTTCCGGTTCCTAACACGTTGTGGATTATCCGCGACGATCGCCGTTGTTACCTCGACGATCACCACACGCTCGTGGATGTTTGCCAAGATTCTTTCATTTCAACAACATTATTAAGTCTCATCGTCATGATCATCACTGTAACTGCTGATTAACAGTGACGTTACATTAAATTGTTCAAATAAAAGTTAACGCTAAAAAAACAAGATAACTTGTGTTCAGAATTGTCTTATGTCGTCGGAATTGTTTATCAGCAGTAATGCAATTCCATCGAACGTCATCGAGACCATTTGAGCAGAAAGATCGATATAATCTTGATGAGTTGAATGCTATGGGGAATAAAGAAATATATTTTATGTCGGTTATGTATATTGCGTTTCTTCATCCCGAATGAACGAACGAATGGACACTTTTGTGTTTCCGTTCCATCAAAATCGAAACTCATCAAAATTATACTGATTCCAATTTTAGTAATAAATTTTTTTTCAGATCCATCGCGCGTCAAGTTTACCCCATTTAATCTCCATCCTGTCCATTGCACATCCCATTATTAGCACAATATTTTAATTTTGAATACTTGAATTTTGATCAAAACATGGTAGTAAAATAATGAACATTATAAAAAAGAACGAAATCTTTAAAAGAACTTTAAGTGTTATATAATATGATTCGCGGCGATCTTGATATAATTGAGAAAACGAAAGCCCTCCGAGGTTGTTTGTCGCTAAAATTCTATACGCACATGAAGATAACTTTACGAGGAGAGTATCTTCAAGAAATAAGCGATAGATTCATCGGATCGATTAATTCTAACGGCGAAAAAAGAGATACGTTTTGCGTAAAATGCGTACGTGCATGCGTAGCGGTAGTTACGCATATGCGACACATGTACATGTGGAATTGCCATTACCTATATCGCTATTCTTACCAACGCCAATATTTATAACAAACCACAGGGCTTACCTGTGAAAACGAGAGAAATAAAAGGATCGTGTGTGTGCCGGCGTGTCCAGATTGTGTGAACACGCGCAATTATCTATCCAATAGGGACAGAAAATCCAAGATATTATGCGTATCTGTTGAAAATCGCGCTTATCTTCTTGCGTGTATAGTAGGGAAGTACGAGGAAATATACATTGGCGTATATACATTTTAACGAGAAGATAGCCCTACGCTGGCACATCAAGTTCAGACTGATCCTGTCCGCTCTTATCTTGCATATAGGGTGTCTCTGAATTATCGGCACACATTTTATAGATATAGAAATCGGATTAATAAGAAATGATTATTTCAATTATTTTACAATGAAAATGTCTGGGAAATTTTATTTATATTGAATGTGTGCGCTTTATACTTTGAGTAAAAAATTAAACAAGAAGTATTTAATTTATAATTTTATTTGACGTTCGAAAATTTGGAAATGTGTATCTATGTAAAGTACTCTTATAAATCTTTTTTAATCCTTTTTTATTATAATCTTTTTTAACCCTTTGCAATCTGAGTTTTTTATTTAGCCCAAGCTTTTTTTATCGTTCTAATAAATTTTCAAAAAATGTAGAAAAATTCAAATTACTCTCCAATATCTTTGTTTACCAAATAATTTTTTACTTAAATATTGATTTAATAAAAATTAAAATTTGAGGAAAAATGAGGATAAAATTTAAGAGAAAAATTTCACTTGCGACTTTGAGCAAAAAAGACTAAACAAAGGGTTAAAAGGGTTAGTTAAATCGATTGCAAATGATTTAACTAACCCTAAATCATTAAAATATGTGTCGATGATCTAGAGACACTAACACTAAAAAACATGGAAAAACATTTTTTATTTTTAAACTTTCTTTGGATGCCAATATAATACACAAAACTTATACAAACTTATTTCCCTTTTTAAACATGTTTTTACTAGCGTGTATTGTGTTTTATTTATATATTGATAAAAATAAACATATTGAAAACAAGTTAACGTACAACGGCAACAGGATGACACACATGGGAGAAAAATGAAAAATTGTATTTTACCTTCAAATCTTAATTGATTTTAATATATTTTAAATTAAACCTTATTCAATTTTTAAAAAGTTGTCAAAGTCAATTTTTGAGATATAGGCGTATTTTTAAAAAAGCAGATGTAAAATAGCAGCTAAAAAAGAAAGCATTTACAATTTTAATCTAACTTGTACTAAATTAGTACATGATTTTGATGTAGCAGATAATGGATCTAATTATAGTTGCAAAATTTAAAATAGTACATATATTTATTATAACGAATGCTTAAATTAAAAATACTTTTTATTTCTGTGAAAAATTATATTTCTAAATTATACAGCTTTTAAGATTGTTGATTATTTGCGCGAGTATTCTGTATAGTTATATTTGTCCTATTACGCAAGTACTCGTAATAACTACATTTATTCTCTTGTACGACAATATTTGCTTTACAAACATATCACAAAAAAGTTCGACAATAACTTTTGAGCTTTATCGTTAACAGCTTTCGAAGGGCGTTTCCATTCTTTCCGCTATTTATGTAAGAACCAGACGAAGTTCTTCTTAATTGCAACGTCATTTGTTGCATCTCTACATTTAAGGTTTTCAAGTAGACTTTTCAAATTGTTTGAAATTTCTGTTACGTGCTTCCTGTGCTTCTTCAGATAACTAATCGATTGATAATAATAAATATAAATTTATAATTTTGCTCCCATGAAAAAAATTTGTGTACCAAAGCAAGCATGTAGTATCAAAAATAAAGTTTAATTTATAGTTCTGCAGTTTTAAAAGTATAAATAATTTTCAAATTTAACAGTATTTATCTTTTTCACAAATGTGCGTGTGTTTTCTGCAGAATAATTCTAAATCTTCGTGTGAGGAATACTTCCTCAACACCGGTTACCTTGATCATGTTAAAGTCTTTGAAAAGTTTTCTCTTTATTTCCATCTTTGAAAGATAATCCAGAACCTTTTCCTATCTACCTAGACTTATTTGCTTTCAAAATTCCCTTGAATATTTTTCTTTCATCACCATTATTTATTCTCTTTCAGCTCAACATTACAAAAACATTACCGATAAAATATAATGGAAATATACATTCCGTGAATTTATGCAAACAATGTTGAAAGACGTATTCAAAATTTTGAACGATTTCTTACTTGTCTTTTAATTTAACGCACACTAATATTTATGCATTATATAAATACTCTTTACTTCCGTCCTAGATATCTCCTCACATATAGAATATAAAGGAAAGAAACGAGGAAAAGGAGAGGAATCACATCTCAAAATGATAAATGGATCAAAATAAATTGAATCAAAAAGTTCGAAGAATAAAAGCTGTAATTCTGAAGTCATAACCATAATAAGTGATTTTTTACAAAAGTAAAAAATAAAAAAATATTTTTAATTTAGGCATTTATTATATTGAATGCGTTATTTTGAATTTTATAACTTTGATTTCAGACTTGTAATTAACGACCTAAAAATCTTTTATGATTTTTATCAAAAATTAAACATTTTTTAATTTTGTACCCACTATTTAATTCGTTATTTTGAATTTCTTAATATTGCAACTATGTTCTTAATTGTTACAACTAATTCACAATTAACGACCTTAAAAATATGTTTACATGCAACTCCTCTGTATAAATCTATTCATATATAATACTAGATTTATTTATATTAATAACATTTTTGGGGTTCATGACAATCATATTGGATTTATATAATGTTGCAATTCTAATATTATATATTAATAATTTGCCCCATTAAAAATATACATATATTTATATCCAATTTTTTTTTAGTATATATCAAATTAAAATTATAAATGCTTTCTGTATTTTAGTCTATTTCATATCAACTATTTTGAAAAAAGTCTAACGAAAAAATCGACAATTTTTTTCGAAATTAAATTAAGCTTTTATTTGAAAAAAAAAAAAAAAAACATTAATAAAATCAGTTAAGATTTCAAGGCTCTGAGGATAATTTTAAAACATAATTCCTCATTTTTTCATACTGTATAACGGTGCGAAATTCTCAATGTGTCAATCCTAGTCAATCCTATGCGTGCGAGAAAGGAACGGTAGATATAGGTTTAAGCGGGCGAGACAAAGCGCGCGCTATCGTCGCGACGGCATGGCGCTGAATTTAATAGCATCTTCGATGAACGCGACCGCCTCAAACACGAAGAGGCAGCGAAGAGAAAAACAGGAAGAAGATGCAGGCGCGAAGAACAAGGCACACCGACGATCTCGTCGTTACGAACTACATTGTTTCACGGTCGGCGCGTCGACTAGAGTGTATTAGAGAACGACACGTTTAAAAACGAAAGCTTGTATAAAAATCGAAAGAAGCCTGGTCAACCGCTCAAAATTTCAGATAATAAAATAGAAAATTTAATACAATTTGAGATGTTATTTATTCAATACTTTTAAATTTCTTCCCTCTTAAGAGTATCAATTTACTAAAAATATTATCTAATGATAAAAATTTATATACAAGGTGGAACGCGAAATG